AACATCTAGTCTTTTTACTTTTCAGATAATCTTTACACGGAGTTGTTACAATGCCACAAATCAAAAGTATTATTCCAGTTCCACCAATTTAATCTACGTGCAAGATAAAGGACCCAGCTGAGGTACAAATATCTGTACCGGTTTTCTTGAGTTTGCTTTACAAAGCACAAAGAGACGAAGGTTTTGCATTGGGGTACAAAACAGATTTGCCTCTTGAGGTTAAATTCACTATTATGTGTATAAAGCATCCCTTTGGCAATAGAGTTTGCAGTATCCCCACAGGACTCCACAGTATAGGTTTTATGTAGTAAAATCTATTAAACAAATTCTCTTCTACTTGACACATCATTGCAGCTACAGTTAATGAGATACCCTTGGAAACACCTGCCTCTATGCCTATTGATAATATAGTATTTGGAAGTTAGAAGTCAACAAAAGGCACTTTCATCATTAAATAAATGTCCTTTGTATGAAGTAAGATTACATGGCCTAGATCTTGTTCAAAGCTGTTTGCTCCTCGAGAACCTGTAGGTAGTCAGGGGAACTCTGCAGTTTTGCCTTCAGTTCAAAATACTCACTCTTCCTTTGTTCCACGACAATTTTACTGTGGTTGCCACCTATCAGTGACTTCTTATTTTTTTTGTCTGGTTGTTTCTCTGGATAGCGGATCTCAAAACCACTGACACCTATGCTATTATATTCTTTTTTGCTTTCAAGAAAATTCTGAATAAACACATTGGAATCCCTGCTAGGGAATAATTCATCCAGCTCATCAATTGTGCTCAGCCTCTTCCTGGTATCCACATGTAATAAATCTTTCTCCTTGTCAGCCACATTTCTCATAACAACCTTCTGTCCTGGAGGATCTGAAAACATGAACCCAGTTTCTGACTCTTTCAAGCCACAAGTGTGGCTCTTGCTCATCTGCTCTATAGTTTGTGGAATGAAAGCTTCTGTGCTCAGTCCATCCTTTTTACTGGTTTTGTGGTCATGCTTCCTTAGCTGCAGCTGCATGGAGCCACATTCAGGATTCCCCAGGCCTTCGTGCTTCACTGTGGGTTTCTTGTTGCGTCGCAGAACAAAAACAAGAAGGCAGAAAGCAACAAACACAGTTAAAATGAGAACCACTAAGATACTTAAGATTAAAATAGACAGAGGCACTGGGCCACCAGGAGGACTTCGAATGGGACCCAAAGGAGTGGTGAATGTAATGGCAGGTGCCGGGCTCGTGAATGGTGCAGACGGCTTATTTAAAAGTTTGGGACATAAGATTTCATTTTTGAGGGACTTCAGTTCAATATTGGCAAACTGAACGGGCGTCTCACATTTCAGTTCTTTTACAACAATCCCATCACTCAACTTCTCCAGCCACAGCTTTAATGCTACCAAGTCACAAGTACAGTCCCATGGGTTGCCCTCCAAGTCAATCTGTGTAAGAGACTGCAACTGATCAAGGACCCCACTGACAGGTAGGTACATGAATTTATTGTTCCTCAGGTTCAGTCTAGCTAAGGGTGCTCCTGAAAAAATGTAAACAGGCAGGCTCTTTAGGAGATTATTGTTTAAGTACAGTAACTGCAAATTTGGCATTGAGTCAAAAGTACCTGCTAAGATTTCCTTAATCAAATTGTATTCCAAATACAGATACTGCAGATTATGAAGACCTGAAAATATTTCAGGAGAGAGTCTTTCAATTTGATTGCCATTGAGATATAGCCTGCGTAAATTAGTAAGATTGTGAAATACGTCTCCCTTAATCACTGTAATTTGATTGCTGCCTAAATGAAGCAAATCCAGTCCTTCAAAGTCAGTGAAGTCTGACATGTCCACGTCCTTGATGCTATTGCCATTGACATGCAGCTTCTTGGCATTTAAAGGTTTTGGCATCAATTCAGACATAGACTGTATATTTTTCTCTTGGCAGTTCACACTCAGTCCCAAATCTGAAGGATGTGTTTTGCAGAAGCAAGGGGTCGGGCAAGGTGTTAGAGGAGGCACCCTTGTTTGGTAAGACACAATCTGACTGAGATTGCGATTGGAGAGCGCTTTGCCTGCCACGATTCCAGAGATCTTGGAAGGATTTGTTGTTTTTGGTGGTTTAGTTACTAATCTGTGTAAAGATGTTTGGGTAGTGTGACCATTGGGAGTGGTGTAGCCATTTTCCAGCTGAGATGGAGGCAGGATGCGCACATCAAAATCACTGCCAGTGCCCATGGGGCATAATTCTTGTTTGTTGGTTTCTTTTAAAAGCCTTCCATATAAGTCACTGGGAGTTTCACAGATAGCTTCTCCTATGTAAATGTTATATGGCATGTTCTCCAGCCAAGCTTTTAAAGGCAACAAATCACAGCTACAGTTCCAAGGGTTATCTTCTAGTTGCAGTTCGACGACACGGCCAATGTGTTCCAGAACTCCGATATAAGGGAGCTTCTGGATTCTGTTCCCTCGTATATCCAGATGGGTCAAAGATGCGAATCGGAAAATATTATCAGGAAGGAATGAAATCAGATTGTCATTAAGAATGAGAACTTTCAGTTTGTGGAGCTTATTGAAGGCTCCTCGTTCAATATACTTGATTAAATTGTAGTCAGCCTGGAGATACTCCAAGTTCTCTATGCCAAGGAAAGTATCAGCTCGGAGAATCTTTAATTCATTGTTGTTCAAGTGCAACTGCTTTAATGCACTGAGCCCAAGAAAGGCTCCTCCCTCAATGTTCTGCAGTTTATTATTTCCCAGATGCAGGGATACTGCATGTGAAAAATTCAAGAATGTATTTGGATACAGAATATTTAAAAAATTGTTTTGGAAATTGAGGTGATAAAAATTAGACCAAGGTGGTTTCAACTGATTTGGTCTGTAGACTGAAACCTTCTCACAGTTGACATAGAGCACATTCTCAACTGACACGCAGGAGCACACATTGCAAATTTCCACCGATATGTCAGAATCTGCATTTGTTGAAGAAATCAGGGCTGACAAAATCAGAAACAGCCAAAGAAACATCTTCTTGCAATCAGCAAACAACTGTATGCTTCTGAATAAAGAGAAATAATCTAAAAAATAAAAAGAAAACATTTTTTTCAATGGTGATTACTTGAAAAATTATTTGTGTTTAAATCATACCATAGTGAACACATGGCTATAATTGCCAGTGTTGTATTTTTAGGGCAGCCAAACCTCCAAATAGTCTCACTCAGTCAAACAATAATAACCACCAAGACTGCCATACATTTCGTTTTCCATACCTGTAGTTTATACAAAATTTACATGTGTAGAATACACAACCAACAATTGGAAAATATGTTATTAATCATGCTTAAATCTTATAATCTGAAAATATATTTTCTACATGGACCATCAAACTCTGCCATTGAACACAGGCCTTAAGCTTCCTATGTGCACTTCAAATGACCAACCCCAGACTATCAAGTATGCCATTGAGTTTGCACCACGAAGACATTTTGATTAGTGGATTATCTATCCTCTAAACTTCGGCTAGATACAGAGGCTGCATAAGAAACATATAGAGCCCAGAGTTTACTGGAAGATGAAATGGGAGGATTGGGCTGCTGTAGGGGGACTGTTAAAAGACCAAGAGACAGTGACCTCGGAAGAGATTTGCTTGTGCTGTAGTCCCATAAGTAAGCTCACTGCTGTCAATCCGTTTACTCCTGTGCACTACTGCCTTCAAAGACACAGATGACTCTGTGGGATTCTAGAAAAACAACTGAGTAAGGGGTGGCCAAATTTTATTTTCTGGTAAATAAAGAGTCTCTAATTTCCTGTCAGTCATCTCCCAAAGAGAGAGCAAAAAGCCTTTTGTCTTTGAGTCTCTGAAAGCAGCAGAGTAACCTGGTTATTCCTTCATTGCTTAGCTAATCTCCAGGCAGCCTTTCCACCTTGAGAATTGGCTCTCTTGCCTGCCTGGCACTCTCACGCACCTTTATTTACCATTTTGAACCCAGGTCCGATTGGTCCTCAGCTTAACTCCTTTTCTCTTTCACTTTGACCACAGACTGCAACTGCTGAGGAAGAGGAGTTCAGACATCACAATCTTTGAGTACCATTTCCTACAGCACCAAATATGTTCAGTACAGCACATTTTTTGTCCTGAAATCATCAGTTCCAAACACTCACTCCCCCTCCTAATATTCCCACCCCATGTCCCTGACTACAAACAAATAAAAAAATCACTTGTTGGTAGAGTTTAATGCTTAGCAAATTAACCCATCGTATTCAGGTCCTTAAATACTGCATACATACACAAATATGCACAATGCTTCCTGGAAAAGATTAAACAGAACACAAGCAGAGTGCATTTTATTATTTTAGCAACGTCTTTTTCATAGTCAATGGGAAGCTGGTTGCAGTTTCAATATGGTTACCACTAAATATTAATTAAATAAATAAAATTCCTAAGAACACACAACAAGGAAAGGATGCAAAGAAAGAAGTGGCACACAGAAACTCCTTTGTTTATTTTACCCACGAGGAAACAGCTAGTGGTAAAACCGAACATGCCTCAAGGTAGACAATCCATTAGCCATGACCCAGGAGGATTTGCATTTTAAGTAGTTTGGTTCAGAATACAGCCAGCACTGCTGAGATGCTATTTGGCTGCCATATAGACGTGCATTTCCCCTATTCACCATGACAGCATGATTGGCATTGCAAAAAGAAGTCATAATTCTTAACTATGACATCACCTAAAGCAACTTTCATTGTAAAATCAAAATTTCACTTGATATTATTTGCCTTGTTATAAATGTGGTTTTCAAAAGCTGTTTTGGTTCAGTTGAGTCATTTTTTGTCACTAAACCACCACCCCACCCACTTCAAAACAAAGAAACCCAAAAGCAACCAAACTAAAAAACAAGCGCAGAAAAAAAAAAAATCGTTAGAATCCAAATTCAGTACAAAAACAAGAACCAGGAATCTCAACAAATCTGAAAACGCATAAGAAGCTGCCCTCCTCCTGGCAAATTCTACTTTAAGTAGCAAGAGGGGAAAATGCACTAGAACGAGCCAGGAAGTTCCCAAATGCAGCTCTTGTGAAACAGAGGAAGCCACAAGCAGCTGGAGGAGGAGGCAACAGAGAGAGAGTCCAGTTGGTCCACCAAGGAGACGGAGAAAGAGGCACTGAAAGGGCAAGAGACCATTGAGAAGTGGAGAAACGAAGAAAGAGAGCTTGGAGAACGGAGCTACAAAGAGGATAAAGGCAGGCACTGGATGTATGCGAATAAAGCCTCACATTCGCGTGGTACCACGGAAACATGCACATTTAAACATCCAGGAAAAAACGCAAATAAGAAAAGAAAAAGCCCACGAAGTACCAGCTGGGTACCAAGAGCCTTCTCTGTGGCTGCTGGGAGCTGTCCGTCTCCCTATCGGTCTCTCCGTCTTCCTCTCTGCGCCCCGCAAGACCCTGGGCTCCCACGACCCGCCAGGACTGAACAAACCTAGCCCTACCAAAAACAAATCCTGCATCCTCCAGAGTGCCGCGGCTGGCACTCCGCGACTGGGAGGACAGAGCCGGCCTGAGGGGAGCAGACCACTGGTGGGCTGCAGGGGGGTGGGCAGGGGTAACTCCCCTACTGCTCACTCGGGAAACCCCGCTGGCCCATATAAAGCTTTGATGGGGGTGGAGGAGGTCCGCGGAGAGACCCGGCCAAAACCGCCCCCGGTGCGCTACCTCGGGCGGGCGGCAAGTAGGCTGGAGGAGCCGCTGGCGCGTACCGCAATGTTTTGCCGCATCCCAGTTTCCGGAGCCGGCGCGCAGCCCCCCTCCGCGTCAGGGGCCCAAGCAGCAGCCTGGCGGGCAGTGCAGGGGAGGCGGGGTACCGCGCGGGATGTCGCGGGGGCCTCAGTCCCGCTGCGCATACATTTTTCCGCGCGCTCCCGTCCCTGAAGGCAGCTGCCAGAGTTTCGGTCGACCTCTCTGGACCCAGGCGTGAGGGGTGTGAGGAGGAAGAGATGGCCAGATCAGGCCTGGAAGACGTGGGCACTAGGGTGTCACTGACCTGCTTACCACAGGCAGACCGACCCTGTGGTTTTTTGGCTACGAGCGGCGGCCCTGGCTCCCCCTTCCCTGTTCTCCGCCCCCACGCTCCCGGCCAGCTACATAAATCCTGCTCTCACCATGCCAGAAATCAGCTCAGCATTTAGGCACCTTGCAAAGTCGCGCTGGCAGTGCTCGTCGGGCTTTCCAGGGCTTTTAGAGTTACCCACCGGCTGGCTTTTCCTCTGGTATTCCTAGTCTTGCCGAGCGCTAGCAATCTCCGACCAGCTCGCGGGCCACTGCCGGGAGCCTTAGATCCACGTCTGCGGAAAGTAGCTTCGAGTGGGACGCAAAAATAAAGCCCAAACCAGCCCAGTGGCCCGACAGCCGGAGCCACCCGAGACCAGTACACTTGCCCCGCTGTCCTGGCCGCCCAGGGGATGTGGGGGCAGCGATGCCAAGGACACCCGGATCCTTTCCGGTCTTCAGCGGCGTGCGACCGCGCCGCAGGCAGGCAAGTGGGAGGTGGAGCGGAGGATTAGCCACCTCGGCCACTTTGGCCACTCAACCGGCCCCAAGTCAACAGCACCCAAACTAAAAATAATAAGCTACCTGCCCCCTGCGCGCGCGTGCGCGATCAGACACACACACGCACACACACACACACTCTCACGCACACGCGCTATTGAGCCAAGGGGGGAAGAGACAGCGCGCCTGTCGGTGCAGCTTGTGCAGCCCCCACTTGAAATTCACCCACCTCTAGAACCCAGGGTCTAGTCCAGGGCCCGCGGCGCCGTGACCTGCGCTGCTATTTCCACGATGGTCTCTACGTGATTCCGGACAGAGCTTCTCCGCGCCCGCTCGCCCGTCAAACCCACCGAGCAGCCCTAGCAGGCGAGCAGGCGGGCAGGCGGGCAGTGGCGCGCGCGCGCGCGCACCCGAACAGACACCGCGCGCGCACCCAGCGCCTAGCACATGAGCTGCACCTTTACATACACGCGCTGAATCCCCGCCCCCGCCCTCCACC